CCCTAGCATTTACTTTATCATCTCTAGAATATGTTGTAGCTTTCTTAAGGCTCAAGCAAGCTATCCTATATGTATCCTCAACCTGCCATAGTTGTGGCATGGTAATGAAATCTGAAATTCAGCCCCAAACCTGTGTTTTGGTTCTAACAAATGGTATCTAGAGTCTAAGTTCATTTGGGTTCTACCCTTACCCCATCCCAATCCGTCGCCATGTCTCTCCACTCCTCACCCTCTTCCTCCAACCGTTCCACCACCTCCAGCATACGTGTTGCAGCGGTTGCAGCGGCCAGGCGCGAGGAGGCGGCGGTCGAGCATGCAGCAGTAGCGGAGCGGGCGGCTCACATTGCCCAGGCAGAGCTTGCTGCGGCTCGTGCGGCTGAAGCCGCCCACTAGGCAGTAGCGGAGGCGCAGGAGGCTGCAGCAGCAGCGGCTGCGCTCCGTGCGGAGGCGGACGCGGGCGAGCAGGAGGACTATCACGCCTAGGCGGGCGCGTCGGATGCAGGAGCGGCGGCAGCTGCGGCTCTACGCCGCGGAGTGGACACCAAGCGGGCCTGGCCCGATGCGGGTGGCCTGGGCGAACGCGATAGACGTGAGGCTGGCGACCGCGACGGCTTTGACAACTGACGCGGACGCGACGCGGGCCGCTTCGACGGACGACGCCGCGACTTCGACCGGGACGAGCGGGCGGCACACGACTCCAACGCCTGGCTGGAGCAGGAGGAGCGGCGCGAGGCGCGTGACCTGGGCAGACGGGACGCTGGCACGCGGAGCCCTCACAGGCAGCGCGCCTCCCCTTCCCCGGACCAGCGCCGTGGTCGCCGTGGCCGGCCCGACTCCCCACCCGTCGTGCAGACCGTCGTCAAGTACGCCGGCGGCGGATGGCCCATGCTCACCAAGACCAACTACGCCGAGTGGTCCATGGTGATGAAGGTGAAGATGCAGGCGCGGCGCATGTGGGATGCGGTACGGTACGGCGACATCGACTTCGACGAGGATCGGCGGGCACTGGAGGCACTTCTTGCTGCTGTTCCGACGGAGATGCACTCCCTCACGAACAAGCGGACTGACAAAGACGCCTGGGACGCCATCGCCGTGGCACGCATCAGCAGCGACCGTGCCCGTAGGTCCACGCTTCAGAAGCTGCTTCAGGAGTGGGAGAACCTGGCTTTCAAGCCGGGTGAGGACGTCGACGACTTCGCTCTCCGCCTCAACACCGTGATGCAGCTGTTGGCGTGGTACAGCGACAACGACATCGACGAGGAGAGAGCTGTCGAGAAGTTCCTCCGCATCGTCCCCAAGAAGTACTCGTAGGTCGCCATCGCGATTGAGATGTTGTTGGACTTCTCCGAGCTGTCGATCGAGGAGGTGACGGGTCGCCTCAAAGCCGTCGACAACCGCGAGCAGCTACCTCCCTCAGAGTTGGTCACCATCGGTGGCAAGCTTCTCTTCACCGAGGAGCAGTGGCTCGCCCGCCAGCGGGAGCGGAAGAAGCGGGAGGCCTCGGGTTCTTCAGCTTCGGGTTCGTTGAGCAGCCGCAAGCGTCGGCCGCGCAAGCGAGATAAGGCACGTGGTAGCGCTCCTGGCGGCGCCGACGGCAATCGCAAGGCTACCCGCGACGACACGTGCAACAATTGCGGGAGTTCCGGCCATTGGGTCAAGGACTGCCGGTAGGCGAAGCGCGGCAGTCAGGCACACGTCGCGCAAGCACAGGAGGGTGACGAGTCGGCTCTGTTCTACGTACACAGGTGCATCGAGCCGCACTCCTCTCCCGCGCCGGCCGCACCGCACTCCTCCACCTCGACGAGTCGCGGGCTCACGTCTTCCTCAGCAACGGGTCCGGCGGCGACAAGATCGATGGGTGGTACCTCGACACTAGCGCCACCCACCACATGACCGGGTGGCGGGAGTTCTTCTCCGAGCTCGACTCCGGCGTTCGAGGCTCCATCAAGTTCGGGGACGCCTCCGCCGTGGAAATCAAGGGTGTCGGCTCCGTCGTCTTCACCGACAAGACCGGCGAGCACCGGCTGCTCACCGGTGTCTACTACATCCCCACGCTGAGGAACTCCATCATCAGCCTGGGACAACTGGATGAGAATGGCTCGCGCGTGGAGATCGAGCACGGGGTCTTACGTATCTGGGATCGCCGTCGTCACTTTCTCGTCAAGGTGAACAGAGGCGCCAACCGCCTTTACGTCCTCGATGAGCAAGTGGTGCAGCCCGTGTGTCTTGCAGCCCACCGCGACGACGACTCCTGGAGGTGGCACGAGCGCTTTGGGCACCTCAACTTCGAGGCCCTGAGCAGCTCAGCAACAAGGAGATGGTACAGGGCATGCCGCGAGTCAAGCACGTGGAGCAGTTCTGCGACTCCTGCGTCCTCACCAAGCAACGGCGGCTCCCCTTCCCCCGCCAGACGAGCTTCCGAGCCAAGGAGAAGCTGGAGCTCGTGCACGGTGACCTCTGCAGCCCCGTGACACTGGCCACACCTAGAAGCCGGCGTTTCTTCCTGCTCCTCGTCGATGACGTGTCCTGCTACATGTGGGCGGTCTTGCTCGACGCCAAGGCGGTGGCTGCGGACGCCATCAAGCGCCATCAAGCTGCTGCGGAGAAGGAGTGCGGCCGCAAGCTTCGGGTGCTACGCATCGACAACGGCGGCGAGTTCACGGCGGCGAGTTCGCGACGTACTGCGCCGACAAGGGGATCCAGCGCCACTTCTCCGCGCCGTACACCCCGCAGCAGAACGGCGTCATTGAGCGCCGCAACCAGACGGTGGTGGCTACCGCCCGCACCCTCGTCAAGCAGAGAGGGATGCCGACAATCTACTGGGGGGAGGTGGTGATGACTGCCATCCATCTCCTCAACCGCTCGCCCACCAAGGCCCTTGACGGCAAAACGCCGTACGAGGCCTGGCACGGGCGTAAGCCGGTGGTGAGCCACCTCCGCGTCTTTGGCTGTCTCGCCTTCGCCAAGGAGCTCAACCATGTCGGCAAGCTCAACGACCGGAGCACGCCAGGGGTCTTCATCGGCTATGCGGAGGGCATCAAGGCCTACCGCATCCTCAACCCTACAACACAGCGTGTCCGCATCTCCCGGGACGTCGTGTTCGACGAAGGGTGAGGCTGGGCCTGGGACAAGGCGGTGGACGACGGCTCGACCTCGCCATGACCGACGACAACCAGACCGCCCGGGACCTCTGGCTCGCCATTGAGGGACTCTTCCGCGCCAACAGGCAGTCCCGGGCGATCTTCCTCAACCATGATTTCCACTCCATGATGCAGGGCGACTCCACCATCGCCTAGTACTGCGGCCGCATGAAGACCCTCGCCGACGCCCTTCGCGACGTCGGTCATCCCGTTCAGGACTCGCAACTTGTCCTGAACCTCCTTCGCGGCCTCAACCCCCGCTTCACCACAATAGCCGATGACATCGCCAACTCCACCGCCGGCTTCCCGTCCTTCAACCAGGCGCGGGACATGCTCGCTCTGAAGGAACTTCGCCTCGCTAACAAGGAGAAGGTCTCCAACTCCACCGCCCTGCTTGCCAGGAACGCTTCGTCCTCCTCCTCCGGCTGTCCAGGCGGGTGTCACCCAATTGCTGGACCTATTCAGCCCGGTGGCAGCAGCACCAATGGCGGCAGCCGCTGCGGCAGAGGCGGCGGCGGTGGCAGCAAGAAGTGGTGGCAGCAAAAGAAGGGCGGCGGCGGCTTCCAGGCCCCATCCGGTAACCCTCGCCCCACTGGCCCGTGGTTCTGTTTCAGTCCTGGCGCCACCTCCTACAACGCTCCAGGCTTCCAGCAGGACGACAGTCAGGGCAGCGGGGGCTGGCGCGCCGGCGCCCCTAGTCTTCTGGGCCAACCCCCGCAGGCCCACGCTGCCTACGTCCCCGCTCAGGCGCCCACCTGGGATCAAGCGGGACTCATCGCTGCATTGAACCAGATGGCGCTGCAGAATGGTGGCTGGGTCGTTGACTTAGGAGCCTCCGGCCACATGTCGTCTACGGATAGTATTCTTCTTTCCCTCCTCCCTCCATCTCACTCCTCCATTACTGTAGGTAATGGCCACACCCTTCCAATCACGTGCCGTGGCAACTCTACCCTCACCACCCCCACCTCCAGTTTTCAGCTTAACAACATCCTTGTTGGGTCATTAATCCGCAATCTGATTTCCGTTCGTCAGTTTACTAAGGATAATAACTGCACCATAGAGTTTGACGCTTTTGGTTTCTCTGTAAGGATTTTCCGACCAAACGCGAGATTCTTCGCTGCAATAGCACCGGCGATCTTTACATCATTCCTCTAGCCGCCAGCTCTGCAGCACCCCACGCCGGTCTCGCCATCTCCTCCAGTTTGTGGCATCTTCGTCTCAGTCATCCCGGTCCTGCCGCCATCACTACACTTAGACATAAAGCATCCATTACTTGTAATAAAGACAGTCACACTCTATGTCACTCATGTCAATTAGGGAAACATGTGCGGTTACCTTTCTCTAATTCCAGCTCTCGCGGTTCCACTCCTTTTGAGTTAGTCCATTGTGATGTCTGGACTTCTCCGGTACCTAGTATTTCTGGTTATCGCTACTACCTTGTCATTTTGGATGACTTCTCACATTTCTGTTGGACGACTCCTCTTGTTCACAAGTCTGAAGTCACCAAACACATCACAGCCTTCTGTGCATATGCCAATACACAGTTCAGTCTTCCCGTTCGCAACATACAGGCTATGGGTGCGCCCCATTCTACTAGGATATGGGTGGAAATGTTGCAATAACTACACCAGGATAAGAAAAATACGACTGACCTACAATTTTTAAGTGGGGAACCCGTACCACCATACTCCCAAACACATTGATCTCGTTTAAGGGAAACCTTTTCTTGTATATTGCACGAGCTGCTTCATTCCCCAATCTTATTGACTAATTTACCAGTTGTTATCTTTTTGTGAAGCTGAACTTCAAGCATTTGGGCACTCATGTTACATTATTCAGATGCTACTTTGCCTTCTTTCATTATGCAATGTAGCAAGCTTTTATTGTCTGAATCTCAGCTACAACATCTCTCATGCACAGCCTCTCAGTCGGTCTGCTCTTGCTGCATGATAGTGCAAGCCTTGTGACGTAGTCCATAACACCATTGATTTTCCCTGTTTCAGCCCCAATGGATAGCAGAAAGGGGTCTACAATCTCCATCAGTCGATCTGGGTAAGCCATCTTTGCATACTTCAGCAGGGTCAATCCATCTGTAAACATGTCATGTGTAGGCTCCTTCCCAGTAAACAACTCAAGGAGTACAATACCATAGCTATAGACATCCCCATGTGGAGAGATGCGAGCAGCTTCACCATATTCTGCAAGGATAAACGGCATTAAAAATGTACCAACTATTTTTTTTTTGAACGTACTGGCAGGAGCTCTGCCTTTCAATTAAGATGGGATAAGAAAGTTTATGTACAAGCAAAGGTAACAAAAATGTACCAACTATAACTGCTGTTGGAGCTACATATAGAGTATTCAGTTACCTGGAGCAACATATCCAATTGTTCCTAGTATTCCCACAGAACTCTTTGAATTGATCAACTGCTCACCAACTGGATCCGTGAGAATCTTAGTGAGGCCAAAGTCTACGACACGAGCAACCATGTCCTCCCCAAGAAGAATGTTGCTGGGCTTGACATCGCAGTGAACTATTGGAGGCTGGCAGTTGTTGTGCAAATAGTCCAGTGCACTGGCAACGTCAGCAGCAATGTTCAATCTCTGCACTAACGTTAGTACATTGACAGGATTTGCGGAATATACATCTGGATGTAACCACTTGTCAAGGTTCCCATAAGGCATGAACTCCAACACTAGAGCTTTGAATTCATTATGGTTCAAATCAGAGCAAGAGCAGCATGTTATAACATGGATCAAGTTACGGTGGCGAATTTTGCTAAGCGCCTTACACTCAGTGAAAAAACATTTTGAAGAGCCAGGCTGTTCAAGATCAAATACCTTAACAGCTACAGTAGTTGACAAGCCCTTTAACAGGATTGTCCCCTTATAAACTGATCCATGCTGTCCCGTACCGATCAAATTGCTGGCACTAAAGCCATTTGTTGCTCGGGACAAATCAAAATAAGAAAGTCGAGGGTACATGTCATCCGTCAATAGAGGACGAACCATCGGTTTTTTGGTGGATGGAAGTCTTGATCCCTTTTTTGAAAATAAGAAAAGAACTGCCAAGATGAAGCACGCCAAGATGACAATAGCAGTCACACTCATAGCATTTCGAATGACTCTTAGTATCCTTTTATTATGCTCTGCTAGTTCAGTAGGGCATTCAGGCAAATGCAGCTTTTTAATACCACCACATAGCTTGTCATTCCCATTAAAAGAGAGACCAGTCAAATTGGTAAATACTCCTTTTGCTGGAACTTGACCATCAAGATGGTTGAAGGATATGTCTAGCCTGTATAATGATCCCATGCTTTCCATGGTCTCAGGGATCTGTCCAGTCAAGTAATTTTGCGCAAGGTACAGTTCTTTCAGGCCATTCATGAGTCCCAACTCTTGAGGAATCACTCCTGTGAGGCTGTTTTTGCTCAAATTTAACAGTGCCAAACCATGCATTTTACTCATGGATGCAGGAATGATACCGTTGAAGGAGTTATGATCCAAACGGAGCTCCATCAAACTCTGACAATTGCTTAGAGCATCTGGCAGCACTCCAGATAAGTTGTTCCCTTGTATGTACAAGTATGTGAGCGTCATGAGCCTACCAACTTCAGACGGAAGAGAACTATTGAAATTATTCCCAGATAAATCTAGCATGTATGACAAGGATGATAGGCTAAAGATCTCTCCTGGTAATGGACCTGAAAGTGCATTGTTGGAAAATGTTGCAACAGTAAGTTGTTGTAGGTTCCCGAGGTTCGCTGGAAGAGGTCCCTCCAGCATGTTGTTATCTACTGAAAGGTGCTGCAACAATGTTAAGTTCCCGAGTGAAGATGGCATTGCCCCAGACAATTGGTTGTTCTCAAGTGCCAAGAATTGGAGCATTTTTAGCCTTCCTATGCTGTCAGGTATGTGTCCAGTAAATTGGTTGCCGGCGAGCCCCAACTTGAATAGTTTGGGAAGGTTACCAATCCCATCTGGTATCCTACCAGATAATTCATTGAACCTGATATCTAGCATCCCGAGTTGTGCTGATAGGTTGGCTATAGAGCTTGGAAACACACCACCAAATCTGTTGTTTTGCAGTGCGACACCACGGAGCATTGTTGAATTAGTTAAGAGTGTGATGAACTTCCAGTCGTGGTTACTGGTAGCCTTCAGCTGGTTTCCGTTGAGTAGCAGGTAGTTTAGAGAAATAGTCCCAATCTCAGGAGGCACGATTCCAGTCAAATTGTTATCAGACAGGTCTATGGATTGCATTGTGGTCGCATTCGCAATCGAAGCTGGAATGTGTCCCCTGAAATGGTTCACCGCAAGGATAAGGTATTGGATTTTGGGTAGGCCATTACCCAAATCGGAGGGCAGTGTGCCCTCAAGCTCATTCTTGTGCAGACTGATGTGGATCGCTGTGGAGAGATTGAAGACTGTTTGTGGGACGGTGCCGGAGAGGTGGTTTACATGAAGAGCCAGCACCTCAAGGTTACCCAGCCTGCCAAGGTCCTTAGGGATCGGTCCACTGAGGTGGTTGTCGTTGAGGTAAACTACCTGCAGTGATGAGAGGTTCCCAAGTGATGGCGGGATGATCCCAGTGAAGTTGTTCTTCCCTAACGACATGGACTTGAGCATCGACAGACCTCCAATCCAATCCGGGATTTGCCCACTGAGGTTGTTCAGGTCAAGTTTGATGGTCACAAGGCGACTGCAGTTCCTAAGGCCATCTGTGAACTCACCTTGCAGTGAATTGTTTGACAGATCAAGATATGACAACCTCTGTAGCTGTCCAATTGTGGGGGGGATTTCACCTTGGAGCGAGTTGTTTGACAGATCAAGGTACAACACATGTGATAGCCGGCCAATCGCTGGAGGGATTTCGCCATACAGTAGATTGTAGCTAAGGTCCAGAGTCCTCAATCGTGTGAGATTCCCGATGGAAGGGCCCAAGTTTCCCACAAGTCCCATGGAGGACAGATTCAGAGCGGATACTCTGTGCTTATGCCTGCTGCTGCTGCTGCAGATGACGCCAATCCACTGGCACAAGTCGGTGCTTGCTTCCCATGAGGCCAGCGCATCCGTCGACTGCAGGCTTAGACCCGCCTTGAATGCTAGCAGCGCATCATGGTCGGTCTCATTTCTGCTCGGCAATGCTTGAACGCATGAGGTTGATAACAGTGAGAGCAGATGCAGCAAGAGAAGCCATATTGCTAGATACATTATGAAGCAGTTTCTCTGCATTCAAGACGATTTTTGAACAAAACAAAACTTATGAGTGCGACAGTGGAAATTCGAATAAAATCTATACAAGTGGACTCATAGGAAGCAGCATGTGGAAATTGTGTGGGATATATATATATATATATATATATATATATATATATATATATATATATATATATATATATATATATATATATATATATATATATATATATATATGCTTGTTTGTCTTCCATTCACTTGTATAGATTTCCATATGAGCCCGAATCAGAGAAGCAAATAGATTGATAGATTGAGAACACGGGTGTTGACACAAATCGTGGTTGCCTAATGCTTAATCTAATTGCGCCAAGATGAATGCAGAAAAGGAATGTGCAGCGTGTATACTAACCTGATGTTCTTCTGACCCAATGCTTGCTTCTCTTCTGGAGTTCTGGTGCCTCCATCTGTGCCATTTTATATATCTTCTCAATTGACTACCATTGACGTCTTGACCACGCATGCCACTAATCAAGAAAGCTCTCGTCGCTCAATTTGCAGCTTCACACCATGGTCCTGGATTTGGATGGATTCGTTGAGCAGCATGTGGAAATTCGGGGCCTGGTATTAAAGCCGGCTTATCATCTTCTCAATTGACTACCATTGACGTCTTGACCACGCATGCTACTAGTCAAGAAAGCCTTTGTCGCTCAATTTGCAGCTTCACACCATGGTCCTGGATTTGGATGGATTCGTTGAGCAGCATGGATTCGGCTGGTATTAAAGCTGGCTAAAGCTGATTTGTTGTGAGAGAAAAATACTATAAATTTTAGTTGATAAGTCTGCTGATAAATTCAAGCGAACAGACCCTCGAATTCAACGAGCCTCTGTTCATATACCGGAACGAGATCCTCTGACTGACGTAACGTCACGGTGACGTTGCCCGGATGTAAGCGAAATCGTCACTCCGACTCGAGTCGGAGGAACTGCTTTGTCACCATCAGAGAAATGACGCAGTAATAATGGTTTTGGATTATAGCACCCAGTAAATTATGATGTATTTTCTCTCCTACCACCAGATCCTTCGCAGGAACAGAGGAAGGAGCATTGGAGCAACCCATACGTTGATACGTAGGAGTATGACGTAAAGCGCAGATACAGCAAAGCAGCTGAACTGCAATCAAACTCTGCTCTTTCCGAACTGAACCCCAAAATCACCACATCTGTCCTAGCCGCATCGGTTTAGATTGAACAGGATCATGTATTTGATCGTATGCCAACCCTACGCAAATCCGATTGTCGAAGCACAGGCAAGGTTTTTTTTATCGGCCAAAATTCTCGAAAATTTTCGAAATTTCCTTTCTATTCACATGGTCCGATAAAATTTGGCATCGGCTAAAATTTTCCCTTCTTTCCTGCTTCCACACAGACAACTCAAATTCAACCGTGCGACAATCCCACACTATAATGTTTTAATCTTGTTTTTATCTGTGAACAAGTGATGTTTAATAGTTTAGGAATAGTTTCAAGTCAAATTCTACGGATTTTTTCAAAACAATTTGAATTTTTTTTGAATTTGGTCCGATATTTCGATATATCTTGCTTATCCTATTTATCCATGACCTCCGATAAATTTTTATTTCCGATAATGAAAACCTTGAGCACAGGACATGATATCAGATGATACACCTGTCTACGGAGCAATCCGCACAATTTGTCCAAGACGTAGAAAGCCGATCAATTTCATGTGGCAGTAAGCAGTGGACCCAAAAGTCCAAAACAACTCTACCTATTATGCAAACGCGACTGAAATCGAATGTGTTTGATGGACCACAAACAAACTGATCTCGCGAGCAAAACTGATAGGGGCATACAAAATCCGGAGCGAAATCTTCCGTGACTGGCCGGTGCCGGCCAACAGTACCGTACGGGCCACAAAGTACCGCCGGGGCCGGTGCTGGCCAACAGTACCGCACGGCCTGGTGTCGGCTGGTGCAATTAACAAACTGGCAGGCTAACGGCAAAATAGAAATCTTCCCGTCCAGCCGGCCGGTGCCGGCCAACAGTACTGCAAAGGCCGCAAAGTCTACGTGCGGGCCTGACTTAGCCTCCTCGACGGCCGCACCGCCGTCCCCTTCTTCTTCGATAGCTCTATGCCTCCCTTGTCTTCATCTCCGGCAGCTCTCTCTCTCTCTCTCTCTCTCTCTCTCTCTCTCTCTCTCTCTTCCTCGTCTCCATCTCCGGCGGGCTTAGAAGAGAGGGGGTTCGGGCGAGGTAGGTCGGCCAGACGGTGGGGACGGCGGGAGGGTGGTGCTAGGGTCCTGGCGACGGTGGAGGCGGTCAGGCCAGGTCGGGGTAGGGGCATCGTGGCGGTGCTTGCCGACAAGTATGGCCATGGCGGCGGCAGGAGTGAGGGTGAGGGGAAGGAGGAGGCCGCCGCAGGCACGGTAGGGTCTCGCCGTGGCGGCGGCGGAGCTCTGGTGAGACCCTACCGTGCCACGGCGAGGCGGTGGGCAGCAGAGGGGGGGGGGACGAGGACAAGGAGGAGGGCAGCGTCGAGAACGAGGAGGAGGGTGAGGACGACCTCGAGTGCGAGGAAAGGTGCGGGGAAGAAAAACATTAATCCGGTCGACGCGTTGCTATCATTTGGCCGCCCAGACCATAACAACTCTCGTGGCATTAGTGTAACAGGCTATGCGCGCTGCCGCCCCACAGATGGTGCCTGCCAAGAAAGGAGCCCAGGAAGCGCCCACACACCGTCAACTTCTCAGGTTCAGCCGCCTCTACCTAGCCCTGCCTTTACATCCATCCTCGATCTCATCCTCGTGCAACTGGCCTATATTGACTTTCTATCAAAAGTAGGGAATGTTAGGTTTCTGTGTTAAATTAGTTAGCATGGAACTGTTGGATTGGATGCACATGATTAATTGCAAATCTATCACGACTCACAAGTCACAATCACTCATGTAAGCTATTATAGTTTCCACAAAACCCTCCTTTACTAATCCTACCATGTTTGATGTTGTTCTTCGAAACCTTCCACCAGATGTGCTCACTGTTCTAAAAAATCTTCCTCTGGCAAGTTGTCGTAAGCCATCGTGCAACCCATCCTCTCCTGAGCCACGCCATGAGCTGCTCCCGTGTCGGACCAACCAGACGAGCATTGTCCTTGCCGGCTGTCGCCCCACCGCCTCTCCTCGTGCGTGAACTGCCCAAGCTGCCACCAGCCTCTGGATCGCTGCCGAGCTGCCCCTCACTCCTGCGCGCTCTAGCTGCTTGCTTTCCCCTCTGGTGAATCGTCTGCTGGCTGCCCAGCCGCAGACCTCAGTCCTCAGTTTTCTAGGACCTGGAGCTAAAATAACTCTCAGGTACTCACTGTCCTAACTTATAGTACAACAGACTGAGGCTTTACACCAGTGAAATAATCTACTAGACAATTTACAAAATCACATTAGATCAACTCGTTTAGTATGTATGTTAAGGTTCATTGCACATTTTAGCAGAATGTTTAAACCTTGACATCATACTGTTTTTAGCTGTCATGACTGAATTGAGCTTCTCCTCTTTTGCAGTTCTCTCTAGCATGGAGGAGATTACTTGGGCAAAATAGTAAATTCGCTTTTCTCTCTGTACTAGGGGGTGTCTCGATGGACTAAACTAAACTTTAATCCATGTTTTGGATGCTAAATAGATATGGTTTAACAAAAACTAACAGAGGCTAATTGATGAGTAGAACTCATTAGAAAAAAAATTAATCAATCCACATTTAGCCTATTCTGCACATATATTATACCTTAATAGAACAAAACTTTGGATTCAACAAACTATTATGTTCTACCATTTTAAATAGCATAGATCGGGGATCAGACCAATTCTTAATGTAAAAAAAAATCTAAGTCTCATTTTCCATCAACAACTCCATCTCACTTTTTCTTGAGAAAATATTGCATAGAACTGCTACATCATTTTGCTCTATCGATGTCTTCAAAAGAAAAATAAAAAAGGGCCACATGATACCGCGCTGGTATTACCAAAAGAAGAAGCAAGGAAAAAACAGCGCCGCGCTTAGCATGCTGGTATTACCAAAAGAAGAATGAAGGAAAAAGCAACGTGCTTCGTTGCTTCGAAAGTCTGTTGGCCCGTAAAAGCGCAGCCCATGCCCATTAACACATGTGTGAACGTCAACTGAAAATGAAAACCTATAAAAAAAATCAAACAGTCGCCGTTGCCGGGGATCCAACCCGGGTTAGCCGGGTGACAGGCGGGAATACTCACCACTATACTGCAACGACTTTTTGTGTCATTTTTAAAGTTTCGTTTAACTTCTGTTTCTGTCGGCGCTCACCTAACTGCTCAAGCCAAAATGTAGTACGGGAAGATGATGCCAAAGCCAGTAGGGAGTAGGGAGGGTTCGAGGTCTGAAATCTTTAATGATATGCTGTGTGTATCAATGTTGATTTTCCCAATGGTTAGAAATGCAAAACGGGTTGTCCGTGAATTGTAAATAAGTTTAATTTTTGCAAGTCAAAAACTATACATATTTGCGTGTCCGCGAACAACCCGTCTTGCATCTTAAGTAACTCTTGTTAAAGACTCATAATACATTGTTACGATGATGATTCATTAGTACAGAAAAGAGACTGTATGATGCTGAGCTTACCGTGAATTGCATTTTTGATAGGCCAGCAAATCATTGGCATTGCCACACTATTTTATAGTATCATAGAAATGACTCAATTGTGTTAGGCCAAACAACTGCAAATTTGAATGATTTACTAGGGTGCACTTAGGATAAACAAGGCCTTGTGTCTTCGTACATTTAAATTTTTATTGGTTTTTTTTATCTAGAGTTTGGTTTTGTGACAATAATAGTGCATTCAAATAAAATCTATCCATCCATCAAGGGCGGAGCTAGAAAATATTCATAAGGGGGAACCAACTACTAATTAATAAACTACTAGAAGACCAAATTAAAATCTAAGTAGCAAATTATATTTTGGAATTTTGTGTTAGCGAATGACTTGCGCGAGTATATTTTAGTTGATCTGTTGGCCCTTTTTTAGAGGTGGTAGATAGGTCCTATTTGGTTACGATCCAAAATTTAGCTACTAAACTTTAGACCATTTCAGCTCTTGAGGCTCCAAACGCGAGGTCTGAAGTATGGTTTAAAGTTTAGCGAATCTCACAGAACACAAGTAAGCTAAAATGGTATAAAGTTTTAGCCTTTAACTTTAGCCAACTACTTTAGGCTATAGGATCCAAATAAAGTCTCAGTATGTTTATAAAAGGTTGTTGGTTGGCATTGGATACGGTGGTTTTGACATATTCTTTCAGTCTATTCTATGGTAAGGTCTGTTTTCTCTAATACTCTATTCTAGTGATAAAGAATTCTAAACTTGTATTTGTTAGGTGTTTTTTTTTTGTACTGGATCTTGTTATTAGTGATGAGTGCCTTTTGCAGTATTCAGAGTCTTTTTATGTCAAGGGTAGTTGCAGATGTCCTCATTCCCTTGTGCCTTTTCTGTGAGATTTTTAAGCTCCGGCGGACGTAGACGATGGAACAAAGAAGATGACCAGATTAGTTTTAGATATACTATTATTTCTAGAGGTCGCTTGCTGCAAGTTATTTAACCTTTGTACTAGAAATGCCAAGTTGTTTAGCCTTTGTACCAGCCATTATTTCTGAGTATCTTTATTGAAAAGGACAATAAAAAAAAGTTTACATCCTTGACCCTTAGCAATCTTACCATCGTTTGCAAATCACAAGGCAATATAATAATTAGATAAAAAGTGAGCTTCATTTGCAACCTTACCTTCGTTTTTTAATATCTATAGCCTTTGTTATGCATTTAAACATAGAGTATTAGATATATACTATGGCCTTATTTGGTAGAGCTCCTCCCAAAATCTCTTCTTGAGGAGCTGGAACCGTTTCGGAAGAGCCACAATTCGTGGCTCCCCTAAAACAGCTCTGTCTCACCTTTTTCATAAAAACCGTTTGGTAGGACGTTTCTACAGGAGTTAGAGCCGAAGCTGACGAAATGGGGTCTATGTTTAAATACATAGTAAAATCATTGTATTTAGAAAACCCAATACCTACAACAGAGACAGCTAAAAACCTTTCACCGGCACATGCATATCCATGTGTGATAGCTTTTCGTGTATTTTCTTTTACTTAAGGTCTTGTTTGGAGGTGGATACATGAGACCTAGGGGCCGTTTGGTAGCGCTTCTGCGGCCGCTCCCAGAGCAGTTTTCCGGCTCCGTCTACCAAACAGCAAAAGATGAAACAACTTCACCTGCTCCACCCGAAAATCGTGCTGAGAGAGAGCTGAATAGTGCTGGGGGAGCCGAAAATTGTAGCTTCCCCTAGCTCCATCCTCTGTGCGTGTGGGCCAGCCCTAAACTGCCCCTCTTCCGTGGCGACATGGGCATGGGCGGTGCTCGTCGAGCTTGATGTTGCCTGTGTCGGTGTCGACAGCACTGAGACAGAGGAGGGAGAGGTGTAGTCCATCGAAGCAGAGGAGGGGAGAGGGCGTCGTGTAGGACCGACGCTGGGCTCCCGGCGAGGCGGAGGAGGGAGAGGGCAAGGAGACTTGCAGGACCGGGAAGGGCGGCGTGGTGTGAAGGCGACTGCCGGCGCATCCGGCGGGAGGAGCGACGTGCGGGAGGGGCGGCGGCGCAGAGGCGGCAGGAGAGCGTGGCGGCCTAGCGGGAGGGCGCGGTGGAGACGAGGTGAGTGCGGCTACGAGGCAGCACGTGGGGTGCAGGCGGCGGCGACGGCGCGAGTATCACGAGTGCGTGGTGCCTTCTCTATCTGTGAGGCCGTGAGGGAGACCGGATAAGATGGAGAGAGAAAACGGAAATAAGAGAGGAAAATAAAGAAAAGGAAAAAAGGGGAAAAGGAAAAAGGAAAAAAGAAAAAAAGAGAAGAATATTATGGACTTTTCACCTTTCAACGCCCAGGAGAAACTATTTTGTCAAATGGTAAAAAAAAATCTGCTTCGGCTGCAAAGTAAATCTACTCTGCCCATGAAACTACGACTAAAGCTATTTTGATCGGAGCCGGAGCTCTACCGAACGCGCCCTAACATGTTAGCATGTGACAAGTGGATGGGTCTGAGATGCAATCGTGTCGACGGTCTCGCTTGCAGGTTCACAGCCGTTCTGATCATTACCATTGGACACCGGCACGAATCTTACACTCGAATGCACGCGTGCCGGGATGTGTCATGTGTCGGTCAGAAAGAATTACGGCCCGCACTTACTTTCCGATTCCTGTTTATATTTACAGCAAACAAACAAAGCAACGTGGAAACGGAACCAGCAAACCGCCTCCGTCCCCTCTCTGCCAGTCCGCCCATCCCCGAGCGCCCCCGAGCAGGCCGGTGACCATCCAAGAATCCCAAGAACCCAAATCGCCATGGCCATGGCACCGGAGCCCTTCTTCTTCACTCCGCCGCCCGCGCCGCGGCACCTCGCCGAGCTCCGCATCGACCCCGCGCACTACGCTGTCGCCTTCTCCGCGCCCTGCGCCGCCGACGCGGGGCGCAAGCGCCGCTGCCTCCTCCCGGCCTCCTCCGTGCGCAAGAGGATGCTGCTCGAGCTGCCCCCCTTCGACCCCGCGCCGAACACACCGTCGCCTCCGCCGACGCCCCCGCCCACGCTCACCACACCGACGGCGTCGCGCGGCGCGGAGTTCTCGTTCGAGCCGGGGCTCCGCCCGCGCCACCCGACCTCCGCGGGCAACATGTTCGCGTTCGCCGAGAACGCGACGGGGACGCCGGGGGGCTCCTCGGCCAGCAGCGCGGGGAACATGTTCGCGTTCTTGGCTGCGCCGGAACGGCCCGACACGCCCACGGGTCCCACCTCCAGGGGCGGCTTCGTGTTCGCGGCTTCGCCGGAGGGGCCGCTGACGCCCACCTCCAGGGGCTCCAACACCAGCAGCCTCACGTTCTTGGCTTCGCCGAAGCAGCCGTTGACGCCCATGGGCTCCACTGCCAGCGGCGCAGCCGCGTCCCTCCACTCCGCGAAGACGGCGCGCACGGGCGCCACCGGAAGCGTCGGGTTCGAATTCTTCCCTTCGCCGGGGCCGGCGTGCGCGAAACTAGGCTCTCCATCTTCCGCGGCGGCCAAGGAGACGACGCTCCCCCCCCCCCGTGGGCCTCGGAACGCCGTCGTTCGTCTTCTCGGCGTCGCGGTCGCTGCCTCCGCCGCGCGGCGGGAGCAGGAAGCTGCCGCGGCCCGACCTCCGCATCGAGACGACCCCTCGTCGCATGAGTCCGCGACACTGGGAGGAAGATACGCCGCAGCAGCTCACCCCGTCGCCGCAGAAGCTCGCTAAGACGAACTCCACCGTCAACCCCGAGGCCTCCCGCCCGTCTATCATGTCGGAGCCGTGCTGTGCGTTCTTCGCATCGCCGGGAAAGGCGGCCAAGCAGGTACGCCGACGCCGTGCTTGCACTTCTTGATTTCTCTTCTTGCTGCCGTTGCTTTCTTGTGCTCACCTCTAATGCGTTGATTTGATCGCCGCAGGAAGCCAAGAAAGCCTCTAGCGAGGCATCCCGCTCGCCAGCCGGGTCACGCTGCACGTCGCCGGTGACGAGGACTTCCTCGCCAGAAAAGCCGAGAAAGCCGGTACAGCCTTCCTTACTGTTCGGCGATTCCATCATTTTGCTTGCATTCTTTAGATTCAAGGATAGAACTTAACTTGGATGCTTTGCTTGTGCAATTATGTGTATACACTTAAAAATGGCAATTTCCTGCTTATCCATCGGTTGAGTGGATAGATGCTCTGTCAAGCTGATCTGCTTTGTGTGAATTCAGTATTCATAATCCTGTGCCAAATTTGTTAGATTGATCTCCACCAGTTGGTCTAACGGACAATTGGACCCTTATCCGTGCTCAGTCATTCTCCTGGCTGATGGGTCCTGTCGCGCAGCGCTATAAAGAGGAAGGTGGGGGTCGGGGCGCAAGGGACGAGGTTCACCGTAGCCGCCAGCGCCCCACCGAGGTTCCTAGACCTAGTCTCATCTAGAAGGGCGCGCTGTAAGCGACGGGAAATCCACACTGTCTTCACCGTCGCCACTGGTCCGCGCCTATGCTGCTGCTACCATCGATGACCTAGCGGGCGCCTGCACGGCTTCCCCTACACCGACACGTCGCGGCCACCTTATTGGTGGCGCCACGGCCGCGACTGCACTCGATGAGGTACATTACCAAGTCTGCTTATCTAAGTTAAGAATTTTCCCACAGATCGCACCTATAGGTCCTACAAGTCCATCAATGGTATCAAAGCCATGGTCCTAGTGTGTAGATCTAGCAGATTGGGGTAGAAAACAGAATAGAAATCAAGAATCAAGTGATTCAAATCGGATTGGAACCCAAACCCTAACCCTAGAAGAGGGGTCGGCGAGGGGAGAGACCTACCCGGGTTATCCTCACCGTCGGCGTGCGGTAAGACCGCGCGCGCGGGAAGAGAGCCGCCGCCTCGCTGGCGCTCTACGGCGCCGCGTACACGTGCGCAGGGCGCAAAGAGCACCACCGCGGTGCCGCTCGACGGCGCCGCACGCGGCTCTGGCCGCACGCGTGCACCGACGAAGGGCGCCACGGTGGCGTCGCCACCTCCTGCGTCGCGTCCTCCCTTCAGATCTCGAGTGCAGCAGCTATGGTGTGCGGCGAAGAGAGGGATAGAGCTAGGGTTAGCGCATATGGGAGACTAGGGCACCGTCGCCCAGACCACTCGATGGCGGCGCACTCAGCCTAGGGTGAGCGCGCACGCCGGCGAGGGGGCCGGCGGCGGCGCCGCTACACCGCTGCTCCTTTTGTTTCTGGCTGCGGCGGTGAAAGAGAAGAAGAAAGTTAGAAATGAGTTAGGGTTAGGGTGCACCGCCGAGGCGACCGCGTTTCGATCTTGAGAAAATGAAGGCTGACCGTCGGATGAAGATGGATGGCTCAGAGAGATTCAGGCCGAAAGCGGCCCAGGCGGGGTTGAAAAATCCTGGCCCAGGCCTAGGTTGCGGCCTGGGCGCGGGGGCGCGCGCGGGCGAAGCAGGCCGCTAGGCCGCCGCTGAGCCGCGCGCGCAAATGCGCAGAGAAATGGGCCGCGAACTATTTTCCCGGGCCGGGCCGAATGCATAGTAATGAGTGTGAATTTGTTTATTATTTTCAGAAGTGAATTTTGATGAATTTTGATTAGTTTTTCATCTCTATTCAATTTTGAACCAATGGGATAAATTGTTTAGAGAGTAGATAAGTACACAGTAAAATGCTTCTGAAAAGTAGATAAATTATTTTTTAATGTTTCCGCTGCAAAGTTTAATGCTGATTATCTTCTAATTAAATTTGAACCAACGGGAAAATTTAATTTGAAGAGCAATTACTTTTAGTAAATTATGATTATGTTTATCCTCTAATTAAATTAGAACTAATGGAAAAATTTAAATTAGAGGAGTAGTCCGTTTTGTTTATGTTAAATTATGGTATTGTTATTTTCTGAGCAACGTTGATGATAATAATATTATAATGAGTTTAAGGTTGAAGTTTAATCTCTGATAAATTTTACACTAACATGGTCAATTTTCCAGAGAGTAGATAAAGACTAAGAAATGCTCCTGAACTAATAGATTGTATTTTATTATCGTGTTTCGCTGCAATGATGTTGATTATCTTCTAATTAAATTCGAACCAACTGGAGAATTTAATTTTGAAAAGTAGTTATTTGTCTTTCAAGTTAATTTATGGGTTTTATGCATTAATTATATTTTCTACCCAACGGTGATGTAGAATTGACGTAGAAGCATCTTGTAAGTTTTATTTTTTAACCGACGAGATCACTCGGCTGCATGCCAATGAGCTGCATTGCTGGGGTATGTGAATGAAAAGGCTTGAGTCAAGCAGTTCATGTTAGTTTACTATTTTTCTGATTAAATTAGAACCAACGGGAAGATTTAATTAGAAAATAAAATATAAGTGCATGTTTTAGTCATCATGACTAAATTTTTCGTTATGGTAATTTATATATAGATTTATCCCGCATGGGGAGAAGTTTGGCATAGTACTTATGCTAATCAATCTTGCATGGCGGGAGAAGTTTTGTGATGACTCATATGTTTTTGTATCCCGTATAGCGAGAGAAGTTTGGGTAGCTCTTATGCTATCCTAGTATGGACCATGGCATAATAGAATGCACCGTCATGGTCAATACTAATCAAAGGACAAGAAAAAGATGTAAGCGTGACTTATAAAAGTACAGTTAACAAAAGACCTCGTCGGGTTCTTGAAGTGGAACGAGGAAAGTGTACTCCTATATGGATCAAGAAATACCTTTATTTGCATGGCATAATCATGTGAATGAAGTCAGTCATAAGTGTCTCTTCGTTCACAGCTTTCTGAATAGTTCTCGAAATTATGGCAGTATAGTTCATGCCATATTTCGAGGGAGGAATTGTGAGATTAATTAAGAGTAAGAATTAAGATCAATTAAGAAACTACTCTTCATTAAGAGTGAGATAAAGATGATGAATGTGTACTCTTCATTAAGAGTGAGATACAGATTTTGTAAGAAACTGAGTGAAATAAAGATTTTGATGAATGTGACCGTCGGTCATAACAATTATACCCGTAAGCAGATAAACAGCTAAATTCTTGGATTTTTTAAAGTTCCAAGAGGAAGATAGCATAGTCACCATCAAAGATATTAAAGCGGTGCTTAAAGCGCCATAAAAGGTTTTAACTGATTGAATGCAAATAAGAAATTAGAAGATACACTATCTTTATAAAAGATGGGACGATATGGGGGAGCACGATATGTAGAGACCTATGACTTGAAGAGAAGTGGGACTGCGTACCTACTTCAGTGATTCAAAACAATGAATTTCTCGGTACTTGTTGATGTTGTATGACTTATACAACATCTGTTGTTGGCTCTTCGAAGAAGATGAATAATGTAAATAAGGATCTTATGATACAGGAGTCTGTAGAATCAATTGCCTCTTGGCAATGAAGAGCAACAACAGCCCCACATGAAAGTGCTAGTAGCTGAGGCTCTAGAAGGTCTCAGAATTAGTAAACCAGTTTTCTGACGACTATGAAGTCTATGTTAGTGAAGAAATTCAAATGGAGGGTGATCCCACCTCATTTGAAGAAGTCATGAGAAGCGTTTACTCGTTTGAATGGCAAGAAGCTATGTTGAAATGAATTCGATGAATACCAATGATGTTTAGGACTTACAAGAAATTCGTAATGGAGCCAAAACAGTAGGCTGTGAAAGGGTCTACAAGACAGAATATGACTCTAAAGGAAATGTGGAAAGATATAAAGCATGACTTGTAACAAAAGGCTTTACGCAAAGAGAATGAATAGATTACGATGAGAGTTTTCTCTCCAGTCTCATGCAAGGATTCTTTTAGAATCATAATGGTGTTATTGACATATTATGATTTAGAGTTACATCAGATGGATGTAAAGACAACATTTCTCAACGGGATTTGTATAAAAACGTTTACATGGTATAATCCAAAGGTTTTGTCGTGAAAGAAAAAGAACGTATGAGATGCCGTTTGTAGAAATTTATTTATGGGTTAAAACAAGTCTCTAGACAGTAGTATTTGAAATTGATCAAACGATAAGAAAGTTTGTGTTTAAAGAAAATGAGAAGGACAATAGTGTTTATGCGAAGTTCTAGAATGGTAAATTCTTTTTTCACATTCTGTGTATAGATGACATCCTACTTACTAGTAGTAATATTAATCTGCCATTGGAGAAGAAGTATTTGTCCTCAAGTTTCAGTGTGAATGATCTTGGTGAAGCCTCATTGGTTCTAGGAATTAAAATTCACCGAGATAGATGAAAATGGGTATTAGGATTATCGTAAAGGCATACTTAGAAAAGATTGTAAAGAAATAAAGTATTTATGCGAGTAAACCTACGCCTGCTCCTATAGTCAAGGGTAATAGATTTGGAAACTTTTAGTATTCCAGGAACCGATATGAGATCGATCAAATGAACATGGTTTCATATGCTTCAGCTGTTGGAAAATGAATGTACAAGTAAGAACTTACCCTGACGTAGCTGGTAGCTGGAAAATGAATGTACAAGTAAGACCGATCTAGAAGGGCGCGCTGTAAGCGACGGGAAGTTCACACCGCCTTCACCGTCGCCACTGGTCGCGCCTATGCTGCTGCTACCGTCGACGACCTAGCGGGCGCCTGCACGGCTTCCCCTACACCGACACGTCGCGGCCACCTTGTTGGCGGCGCCACGGCCGCGACTGCACTCGATGAGGTACATTACTAAGTCTGCTTATCTAAGTTAAGAATTTCCCCACTGATCTGCACCTACAGG